ATGTCACTGTGTCACCCATATGTGATTCAAATCGTCGCAGGAGATGCCGGTAGTAGGGGACAAAAGGTTCTGACGGAAAGTTGGTCTTCGGGTAAGCTGTGATATCAAATCTACTCAATCATCGCCCGCTGGCAGCAAACAGGTTCTTACGCTCGCTCTGATCAGCGTCATCCGAATCGGAATCAGACAGATCACCACTGTAGTCGCTGTTATTGGATTCGTCCGAGTTAGACAAGTTACCGTCGACAGCATCGAATTTCGACAATAACGGTGTCGATGGTCGGGAATTTCTGTAAATATTGTATAGCAACGGGTAAATAAATATTAGATCGGAAGCTACTGACGCTATGCGTGCGTCCCGATCCGCTTCAGATATCCGTTCGTCCTCATCGGAATCAGCAATTTTTGATACTATTGTGGATGGTCGTTCCACCTTCACACCCTGGGGACGACTAAAAGTCTTACGAGAATGCTGATGTGGCAAGGAAGGATGTGGCAAGAACATCGAAGCGTGATATGCTGAAAATATTCCCAGTCGACAAAACACAGCGAAGAGAGATCGAAGAAGTTTAACGTACCAGAAGGGTCTCGTGTGGCAGCATTCTGGTATAAAAACCAAGCACGACGGGTAAGGGCATCTTGCGCAGCCACAAACGCCGTTTGAATCCTAGCTGTTTCCTGCCAGTTGGGAGGCGAAGAATAGATGTCCAATGCTGCATCAAAAAGAACAGAACCAGCCTCCAACCAGAACCCGCGACGCATTTCTGTTGGCACCAATACACGTACAACGCCCTCTGGTATTCGTATCTCTGTGGCCTTTTTATACATCTTACCAGCCAGATCGCTGTAGTCCATCTTTAACCCCTGGGGCATGTTTAGCTGTAACACGGCTTTGTTGGCAGCCCAAGCTACGTCTAATGAATCAAGCGTCATCTTCAAGAAAGTAACTATAATTTGTGCATTAATAACGCCAAACTAGATTGACATTACAGAAGTACATACCATCAGGATCTAACGGCACCGCGAACTCTGAGGCTGGCGCATTGACAGCATCAATAAAATTGGACCCGAACGATGTCAATGCAGCGGTGAGACCTCGGAATTCCGCTGTGGTTGCCACGCCCGACAATGCACCTACATGAAACTCCCAAAGGCAAAGGTACGTAGATGTCCTCGGCTGCGGACCAAACAAGCGATTTGCTGTAATACTAATACCTAAACATCAAAATAAAAATTTAGACCATATTTTCCTGCGCCCTGCAAGCGGCACAGACCGTCGATATGTAATTTCTGACGTCCCAATGCCAAATACGGTTCATACGCGAGATTGTGCATGAGGTCCTCCACGACGGACATGGTAATAGGATTGAGGTTAAGTGACATTTCTATTGAAACACGTCAGTAAGAGTCAGATCTGTTGCAGTTGAACCGTTTTTTACCCATTGAGTGATCATGGGTCCGCAAATATATCCCAAGCTCGGGCTGTAGTATAATCACAGATGTTCCAAGCCCTTTAGGATCCAGGGAAGCTGGTTGACTGCCGTGCAGGGTATGGTCAAGTGAGTATTCATATCCCAGAAGTCCGGCCGGCATTATGACGACCGATTGTTCACAATGTACACTCAAGGAAACTTCCAAAGTATTTGACTAAGATGGTAAAGTTTGAAAAGATCAATCCATAAGAGCGAGTGAGTTACAGACCTTTCCCTCCTTCCATTTCAATTCTACAGGATCGCCTATCGGTATGTTATTTTCCTTCTTAGCAACATATTCGCTCAGAGTGGAAAATTGGGTGAAATTGCCGAAGTAGTTGTCTCGAACAATCATCAACTGGCGGACGACCCAACCAAATGAGAGGAAAACTGTTTCGCGCATCTTTGAACAAAAGATATAAGTCATGTCAGACTCCGAGAATATGCCTAAGCTCACAACAATGTCCAATTTAAGCTGCTCAATGTATTCGGAGATCGTCTCAGAGTAGTACGAGAAAGAGCCGTTGACGCGTAGAAATCCAATACGAGCGAAATCAGTAATTCTGGAAGAAGCAAACGTGGCATGTGTATTCCATTTAGGCAAGGTCAACGCTAAATTTACACCCGGAGCTTCAGCCCAAAATGGAATGCTGGTGCGTTGTGGTCGGAAGACAGTGGATGGGATATCGACGCCACCGCGTAGAGTTTTGCCACGGAGTGTCAAAAGCGCTGTAATAACTTGTCTCGCAGTCCGTTCAACCCCAAGCCATAAGACAACTTACTATTCGCATCTCGTGCGTGTGGATGCGTAATTATATTATGGTCATTCAAGTAAAGATTAATCTCAAAGTCCTGGAAAGTAATATTAGCAACGTAATGCATCGGTATCCACCTGTCAAAATCGCTTGGAGGACCAGAGGACCAGTCTTTTCCAAGGTCAGTGAGGAGATTGATGTGATCCCTAAGGAGATGGAGCTTTGGTGCTTGTAATGAGACGCCAAATGTCCATTGTCGGGGGTCATTCCAACGCAAAGGGGAGGGTAATTCACAGATAACCTATTCCGGATCAAAATACGCCCAGCGGTTAATCGCGGAAGTAATGCACGCTATTCATTTACGCACCCTGGATGATTGTGCAGATAGCAAACGGATGTCGTTTACACTAGATAGAACAGTCACATCGTCGAAATGCAACGCCAAAAGCGTGTCGAAGCCTTCTGCTGTTGCTATCCACGGTACACCGTAGTGTATAGTGGAATTACCACCGGCGTGTACTTCCAGCCACCCAGCTTCGCGTCGTTTCCGTGCATAACCAGGAGATTTAGCCTCGTCGAACATCCAGTCCTGTCATACAAATGAGCGCACACTCTACAACAAGAAAACCTGTAGGTCTTCTCTACCTTGGAAGGTTCCCTAAAAGGTACATGTAAAGTAGTCGTATCGCGTAATTCCACGAATATCTTTAAATCGGTATATATGCGCGTGTCGCCCGGCTGCAGATGGGCCGTCGGCTCGATATTTCGATACGCGGGCGGGAAAAAAAGACGCTGCAGTTCAAATCTAATACCCATTCGTGTGAGCTGTGGGATAATCATGGCTGATAGCCTGCTCACCGCTGGCGGTCCGCCCATGGCCCATAGCGCACGGTGCCGCCGTTCACGACGAGATCTATCCCGAGCTGAGGGGCCAAGTCCCCATTACCTACATCGTGTGTCTCCAGTCGTGCGGCAGCATCGGTCAATTGGACAATAGGAACGATGCCCGGCTCGTCCCAATAGTACGACAGCTCGAACTGCGGCGTTTCCAGGACGGTTTCCGCGATGGCGTAGTCATTCACATGGGTATTGCCATGATCTGCCTCGAGCCGTGCCTGGGTGTCGTCTATCTTGTCTTGGACTTCATCCCGCATCGTCTGGTTCCAAGATCGGGCAAACGCTGCGAACGAAAGGCGAGAAAACAAATTCTCGCTATAAACATGATCTAAGCTATCAGTCGATCAGGATAGGATAGGGTTGACACATACGGTACCAAGCGCTTCGAGATCGTCCGTCCCTGATACAGCAACGTACCAGAATACTTATGGTTACGCTCGAGATCGAACTTGACACTTTGGAACTTGGCATCTATCTTAGTCTTATACTTGTCATACGCAGACCTTGCCTACAAGGTTTTGACACAAATGAGCTGACGGAATGGGGAAAATACAATGATCGTACGGGATGGATGCCATACGACCCCTGTGCGTCCAAAAACTTCGCGACCAATACACTTGGGGTCGAGGTGTTGCCAAAGACTATAGCACCGCGATGGGCTGCGATGTCCACGGGGAGGATTTCATTTAAATTAGGCTTGAGCACGGCGAGCCATGCCGCGACTGTATCGCGGAAATATCTCAGCCCTGAATAGACGGCTTGCGCAGGTTTAGAAGGCGGGTACGAGTGGTCAGATGCGGCTGAAAAAATAAAATAAAATAAATTAGGCACAGAAAGCACGTAGAAAAAATATATAATGCTGTTCACTTGTCAAGGTTGTGGGAATGGAGTATCCATTGTCCGCGGCATCGGCATCGGCAGCCGTCGCGCCCGGACTTGGACCAGAAGCGGAAGAACGACGGCCATTCTGTGGATTGGAGGGCTGATCATTCCGCTCCTGGAGTTGTGAGAGTATGTCGTTGTAAGCCGCAGTACGATTGTACAATCGCCACTCGACGCCTTCAAGGGAGATGTGCACGCGGCTGGGAAGGGTGGAAGTTGGTCTAGTGCCTTTAAATCATGATAATCGAGGTTTAGTTGGTATATATAAAAGTAGTGCATTTGCATGCGTGCCTTTGACTTCATTCGCATCATCTTCAACGGTTATCCTCCTAGTCCGCCAAAGCCAATATCGCCATGTCACCCGGCATTTGACAGCTCTGAACGACTGATTGTTGGAGTAAAATCGTAAATCCTTTATCATTATCCTCCCAGCCAGCAATGAAAATTGAATGGCTTCTATAGACAGGCAGCATTGACAGTTAAGTTGGAAAAAATCTCGCCAGGGGTTGCAAGATACGTCATACCCAATGAGACCCATGTCCTGTCGCTCCCCCCATTCCACCAACTAAAGCGTAATAAATATCCAATCAACAACGCCATTAACCTGTTATAATAGAATATATATAATATCGCCAAAACAACCGAGGATACGCAGGACAACACCAGGAGCCTGCAAACTTTGATCAGCATTCAAGGGCTAATCATCAAGGTATGACACCAAAGCACCAATTTGAAGCCATAACAGAATGCATGTTCAGGCAGTGTCGTGGTGGGCGTGTATTCGAACGTAAAGAGCGTGGAACGCGATGAGCTCGTCACGATTCACGTTTGTAGCACGTGATCGCTAACATGATAATTCAACTGTGAATATGAAGGAATAAAAATATACTACGTTGTGCTTCGTCGGCTAGTTATACATTTAGTGTTTAGCGATAGCTAGGGCTAGCCTAAAAATAATTAGGCTCAAATGAACCAAGGTGGATGGAGAAAAAAATGCTCCCTGCCAGGCTCGAACTGGCGACCTTCAGATTATTGCCGAATCTCAGCATCATATGTAATATGAGACTGACGCTCTACCAACTGAGCCAAGGAAGCTTACTGCCAACTCTTTCTAAAGCATATATAACGGAAACTATCCAAATTTTTATTTTGTTTTGTTCGAAATAATTTATTTTGAACTAGAACAAACAGCTCAAGAGCACATGAACGCATTCTATCCATGATTTACATTTGACCTGACAACCACTGTATCCCCAAGAAAAAGTCCCCATTGAGCGGTATAGCGCGTCGCGAACCAACGATGAAGAGCATTAAAAGCACACGAATGTTTTAGTTTTAAGGAGGACTAATAATCTAACTCAGCGCATCAATAGCGAGTTCCGCCTGCCATATGCCGACCCGCCTGACTGCTCGGAGGACCGCAGGGGCAGGAACGACCAACACGAAGGCCGGGGGCACCAGAATGAGGATGGCGATGGCGATCAGGAGGGTGATGCCCGGCTTTATGACGAGGAAGTAGAAGAGGGCCTGGTATGACGTGGGATCGCGGAACTGCCGCGATAGAGATGTGAAGAGGGTTTGTGTTCGGGACGGCTAGCGGGACGTACCATCGAGAAAGTGAGTTTGAGGAAGCTTGTCTCGCGCACGGACGGTGGTGGGGCGCCCTCGAGGTCGCGCGCATCTGCATTGGATACGGGCGTGCGGTCGCGAGAGAATATGGGATGAGGAGGGTTAGGTGCGCAAACTGACAGAGGACCATGGAAACGTGTTTGCAATGCAATCTATGATGAGAAGGGGTATTTTTTAATCAGTAAAAGTGAAATGAACAGGCCTAAAATAGATAGCGAGTTCGTGGGACCACAGCGCACTAACCTCACCACGGGCCAGTGCACGCGCGCCGAGGAGATCCAAGAAGCACAAAATCACACCAAGCGGGAGAGTTATCAGCAGAGTAGTACCAGTCTAACGAACATATCCTTGAGTCTACACCCTGAAAGCGCACTGAAAGACAGGCCTACCAAAGTCCCAACAAAGAGAAAAATCCACGCAGCCAACTCATACGGAAAATTGATGAAAAGAAGGTGGAAGAGAGCGGCATAGTACGCCCGCCTCACCAGCGGCCGGAAATACCGCCGTGCTCTCGTCAAAATCGGAAGGTGCGACGAGGGTTCCGCCGAAACGTCCGGTTCGGCTTGAAAAAGCGACAGCACGGTTCTCGAAGAACTCAGCACCGTCTGAGCAATCGAATGCACAGAATGGGTTGTGGAGGCATGAGACATGGCACGTGGACGACCCCCTAACAAGGGACTTGTTTCCGTCTCCACTGCAGTCTCGACGGTAATACCACTCGCGTAGGAATCATCGGATGCGTGTAGAGCGCGACGAGCATGCCTGGCTTGATTGGTCCGTGTTCTTCGACTACTGCGAGTGCCAAAAGGATATGGGGGTGGCGGATCTGGCGACGCTTGCACGTCGAGCTCTGCAGCGCTGAACTGCTCCGCCGATAATGGCGGCGGCAGATCTGGTGGTTTGGGGAATAAAATAGCGTCGTTATTATCGTCACTGTGGTGAGTATGACTGCTTGAGCTGGCCATCTCTTGCGCTTCCACGTCGTTCAGATAAACGCAGATGATGTGGCTGACATAACTAATTAATTGCTCATATTATGTAAAACTTGTCACACGATGGAACGATAAGCCGATAGGATTACTTTCTTTAATTACTAGTACAAGCAACGGCACTGCTGCAATTAGTACACATATACGAGCGTGTCAAGCTCTCCTAACGCGATTTGGACCACCCGGATACGCTCGTAACATCTCCTTTCCGCCCATAAACTCGTCCGACAATGTGTCGTCATCCTCTTCCTCGAAAGTAACGGCTGACAATTAATTTGAACCAGATTCAGTCATAATAATTTCAATCCAACTTACCCATCGGCGGACCCTTCTTATCCCAACCACTCACTACATGGGACGCCTTGTACACCAGCAGTCGCAAAGGGTCTATCGAGGGCCCCGACGTGTTTATGATTCTGTCCGAAAGCTCTTCGACGAACGTCTGGTGATCGGGCCAGAAGAAATGCCAATGCCTTGATTTATACGGCGGACCGCGTTGGATGATTTTTATACCTAAGGGGTGCTCAAATAAGCCATCAATTCAGTGGCAAATGGCCCATCAACGCCACCTTGGGCCAGGATCGCCTCATCAGACCAGATCGTCGTTCCCACTTTGCGGCGCATGAGCTCGGGGATGTCTGAGTGGCTGTAGGGGAGATTCTTGAACCTCATGTAGTTCTCGCCCGACCACGCCTCTTCCAGCTCCATCTGCAGCATTGTCATGTCCTTCTGCGACCATATGACGACGGCGTAGTTTCTCCAGCGAGTCATCTTGGGAATGAGGGCTGCTAGAAGGCTTTGTGGTCGACCGGTTTTTCCTACGAAAGATACATTTCGTTTCCCCATGAGTCAGAGGTAGAGGTAGCTGGGAATATCGCAAGTATAGTGAAACACACGTCGTTTGTGATTGAATAGCTTAGTAGGCGTGTTAGGCGTACCTTGTCACGGTCGATGAATTAATTACAACATCATCGATGTTAGCCTCCTTTTCGAAACAATTAAGGACATGGGTGATATCTACAGGGCCCCCGGCATCTGCCGGTCAGACTGGTCACAACTCTGAACATAAGCTGTCCTTGCCTCCTTGGGTCGTGCAGTTACATAGACAAATTGTTTGGGCAGACGTACGGTCATGGAGTGATAAGACCGTTCAATACGATTTCCATATCAGGAACTCCGTGCCAGGAACTATATTTCAAGGCGCTAAATTCTATGTTTAATAAAGCTACAACTCTATAGAAATAAGCTTCCATAGAAAAAGCCTAGTGCCTTTTCAACGAAGAAGCCTGGGGAAGCTGGCTATCAAAAGGAGATTGCGACTTCGTGAGAAAAGGAGGCGAAGGATCCTTGTTAGTAATTCGGGGCTGTATTGTCAGAGAGAACCTGTGGTTGACACTTGACTGCATGGTTCTAGCTTTGGGCACCATATCATGTCAAAACTGGGTTAACAATACCAAAGGCTAATCCGCAAGAGAAGAAACTGCGGTGGCGGACGTGAAAGATACCATGAACCTGGACGGAGGTTCTCACGCTTGATCTCCTAACATTATATTGAATACGGGCCCCCATTTCACTTGTATTTTATTAGTTTCGAACATATCAACCAATAATATACGATTCCCCAGAGTTACCCCTCAAGGCAGGTTCCTCTTTAAGATGCTCAAATTCAGTCTACTATTCTGGTGATAAAGAAGAAGGCGAATACATAGCGAGGGTGAACTAGACGAATAAAGTAAACGTAGTGGAAAACCCGGAGTCCCGGAGATAAAATTACAGAAAACAGTCCGCTTTTCGAAATCAAGAAACGCGACCATGGGAGGGGGGAGAGACGCAAACGCGACCTACAGACACTCGAAATGCAACTAAAGCGAACCAGCACAAGAACGAGTGCGTCAACGCACATGTGGATGCACTCTTGGTGACACAACGCCATTCGCTACCCTTCCAACCTTTGGAGAGACCGGGATTATCATCGCGGCACTAGGCTGTAATTGCTGCGTCCTAATAACCTGCGGGCTGCGCGGTGTCTCTTCCAACGGGATCGCGTCGAGCCCCAACGCAGATCCGAAACTCGATGTCCGCACCTTGGCACCATTTTTACCGCCTCGCTTGCCACCACTCACGACATCAAGTTCAAACTCGGGCTTGTCTCCCCCCCCATCAGACGAGGACCACGCCGAATCCAACGAAAGCCGGCTCATGATCTCCTCCCTGGCCCCATTCCAGATATTCGCCAGCCCCAATGCGGAGGCGTTTCGCGAAAACGCCGACGGTGGGCTCGGAAGCGCTTGCTTGGAGAATGATCGAGATACCACCGGGCGGCTCGGGCTCGGTGATGCGGATAGTGATACTGGCGCAGACGGCGGCGGAAAAAAGGAAAGCTCTGATACGGGGACACGTCGGATTTTGGGGGCACCTGACGAAATGGTATGACCCTTTCTAACGTCCATCCCGGTCTCGTGCCATGCGCCTGTCTCGCCCTCAGCGGCACTATCCAGGCTCGACCGGGCCGATGACGAGGCCGCCGACGACGATATGGCCCGAATAGGGATGTAGAGCTCTTCTCGGAGGTGGATGGTATCGTTTGTCCAGAGTTTGTTTGCGTTTCTGAGTGCCGCGAGGGAGACGTTGTATTTGAGTGCGACGCCGGGAAGCGAGTCCCCAGGGCGGACCTTGTGAGTGTATAAATCAGCAGCAAGAATAGCCAAGCCATCGCAGGGTGGACATACGTAGTGTACAATGACCTCGGTCTCTTTCGCCCTGGTGTCCTCTGCGTCCTTATGCGATTTGCACTCCAAAGCCGTCTCTGCATCATCCTCAAAACTCTCGGTTCTCGCCTTAATCGCTCGTCTAAGGGATGGTCGTGTTTCATGCAAGTCCAACGATGTTCCAAATCCAGAAGCGTCGTCGATGTTGTAGGAGACTGATAAGGAGGGGTGTAAGGGATGACCAGGCGATGTCTGAGACCGTCTATGTCCAATTGCTGTTTTAGATACAGGCGAACTGTGTGGTGGTGGTGGTGATTCGAGCGTGTCGAAGTCGACTGGGCTATGTTCAACGTCAATCCATGGGTTGGTAGAGGCCTCTTGCTCTTCCGTTCTGGCATCGAATTCCAGCCTATGCATTTCATCTCATCCAGCTCACTATCATAAAGTAAAAAGATGCATAAAAATGCAGTCGACTGAGGGAATTCGGGTACTTAGCCAGCAGCACTGGATAGGCAACCTAATTAGGCTAGCGGAGCTTGAATTCAGCCGACTTGGGCCAATCCCCTTTTGTTTCAAGTAAATAGCCGCTCTCACACAGACTGATGCTCAAAATTCTCAATCTCAGAATACCCTTTGAAATTTGGGAGAAAATATGGAATATTCCCTGTCTCTGCTACTGTGTGCGAATCGGTTCATCTCTGGCCCTGTGTTCGTTGCTTGTGCTTATTGTCCTGCGCCGATTTCTTGCAAACTCAAGAATGTTTAAATT